TCGAATAAGTTGTTTTCAAGAAATGATAAATACATTTTAGTTAGAATTTTTGAACAAAAGAAATAATATCATATTCTACTATATATATTTCATGGGATTGATCAATAATGATAATATGACATGTATATATTGAATATGTTTCTATTGATACGTTATTATCAACCTTAGTGACTAATGATTTCGTTGAATATAAGAAAAAAAGTGTTAAGAATAAATGAAAATATTTATTAAGCTGATTAATTGAATAGCATGCGAAGCTAAAAAAAAACTTAATTCAATTAATGTATTCTCTCTATAAATGTAACGAATCGTATTAGTAGTATCAAAAACACAAAAAACCGATGATGTGCTATGGCAACTGTCCAACAATCAAGTTTGATTGTTAATGTTCAATAAATCCGTCATGATTGAGATAAACAAAGTTCGGATTAATGAATAATATTGCATTCAGTATTTCTTCAATTAATTTGTAGTTCAAAGTTTTATTCTTTTTTTTCATGATAGCAGTAGGTTGTATGACTAAAGGAATACCAACTGTAGCTTGACGTTGGTGTGAAATACAAAACATACGTTTCAGTTTTCCTTTGAAATGAGGTAGTGAAGTTAAACAGACAAAAGGCATAAAAAATATAAGCCAATAAGTTGAAAAGAAGAAATAAGGCATCAAAGTAGCGCCTATACTGAATGGTAGGCCACAAAAATTGAATAAAAGCTCCTAGGTTCAATGGCAAATTAAAGATGAAAAAAATGGATGAAATTGATAATAATTGTATTGTCAATTTTCGGTGCTTACGCCACTGTATTTCACGATGACGACGACGTCTTTCCATTAAAACACGGATGAGTAAACCAATACTAAAAACAGCAACAACCAAAGTAGTGAAACATCCATGTACTCCTGCTTCCCATGATTTGAGTATTGGATGACTAAAAAAGCAACGTGAAGCACTATACACTGGTAGTGTGTAATCAAACGTATTCTTGCAAGGTAGAAAGAAAATAACCCATGTATAATAGCTAGTTGTATAGATGATGATCATAGTTAATGGAAGATAATGAACAAGGAAACGTCCTCTTCTTGTAGATAACCATTGATCGTGAAATACAAAAATATGTCGTTCTATTGAAGCCCATGCAGTTAGTATACAACATGTTTCATAGAAACCAATATCGACCAACCACCATATGAGACAAACAAATGGAGTTTGTGGCCACACTTTCTCCATTACAAGAAAATTTAGATAAAATCGAACATCAATTAATTTAAAGACGGATGCAGAAATATTCATAGCAATAATAGTATGGTGATGTAATGAATTTCGTAAAAATCGATCCATAATAAAAGAATACAAAATAAAGATAGAGCATATCATAGAAGGTATTTCAAAGCCAAGTAAAAGCCAAAATCGAATCGAACGAGGTAAAGCAATGTCACCGTTCGCTGTTAATTGCAGATATTCACCAGTGTTATTATTCATCATACCGAAACAGTATAGCTACACAATGTATAATCTTGTTGCAAACCAGTGATTTCTCTGTTGCAGAGTTGTAAGTATTCGTTCAGATTTCGATATTCTGCGACTGGAAGAAAAAGTCATCGAACAAAAGACATTATAAAACATAATACCTGTTGTTATAAATTATATGATATGTGAATCATAGTATATACTTTTCTTTATATTATGAATTAATCGAAACAAAAGCACATTAATGAAATTAAGAGTGTCTACACGACATGGAATCAATATGTAAAATTCTACAGTTCATAAGACGAACGTAAATACTATGACTTAAATATCATATTTAGTAATAAAGAGAGCTAATGTCAGTAAGGATACTTTTTTTTCTCACTTCGTCAAAGCCCACAATAAACGAAAAGATCCTTAAACAAAACTCACATAATTAGGCATAGAACATTTTCGACTCGGTGAAAAATATTGTTTCACACTAATTAGACGAAAATCATGATATTTTTAACATTGAACTACTTGATTTATTGATTGTATAAAGTATAAACATCAGGTTCATTTTCAGCAAGAATAATGCCCTGAAAACTGTGTCCTCATTTCTCACCAATTCAGAAGTATACTCTGGATGATAACATGAAGTTTGTATAAATCATTTTTTCTTGGAAATAAAGAAAAAAACACTTCAATCAGTGGTACTCACTGTTTATCTGTCTACGAATTATGTTGTATGATGAATATCGTGGTCATTTTATGGTCTATTTTGATTGTTTTCCGTTGTAACAATCGCTTTATCAAT